GGATGACAGGCCCTGGAATTCTGGGAGTTGAAGTCCACAAGTCTTAAAGCTTGGAGACTCTTGGTGTTAGAAGAAGAACATGCTGGTCCCCGGAGACCAAAGAAGAAAGCTTCTATTTGGCCTTTTGCAAGAAATGCCTTCAAGGGAAGATCCCTTATCTCCTTTCTTTGCCGTCTCCAGAGCACGGCATTCTGCCCGTCTCCCCTGAATCTCAGCACCTCTTCCCCGTCAAGATCGTGTCCCACTTGGTGAAGTGGACGTCCATCACGTACGAAGATTACTTGGTAAGCAGCCTCCCGTCGAAGGAGCCTTTCCTTGGGTGGAAAAATAGACAAGTGCAGCTTATTTTCAGGGGAAACAACGGTGGCGCCCTCACTTTTTTTTTTTTTAAACAAATTTTATTAGTTTTTAAAGACAAACAAAACATAAACCTTGTAAACATTAAACCTCTTTCCCTTATAAATTTTTACAAGGCAGATAATACAATATTTTATACAGTGTAATTTTAATATATCCCATTTCTACTTAAATATCTTTTAACACTCTCATTTCTTCTCTTTAAATTTAATCATCCTATTCATATTTCCCTCTGTCTTGTTTGCAATTATTTTCCTCCCGCTTTCCTCCAAGGTTTTATTGAATCTCACGTAGACATACACACACAAAACACATAAACTAAAACTTCTTTTTCAAAAAAGTAGCTTGGCCCCGGATTACCTCTCTTTGTATGGACTTCAATTAAATTCATATTCATCTTATATGCCATTACCTATCTTAATTACCATTCTGTGTCTTCTTTATAACTTCTCCCCGCTTTCCACTCTTCTTAATTCTATTTTGTTTATTAACTTAATTTAAATCATTATATTTCTATCCTTTGTCCATTGTTTTCCAATTGTCTATTTATCTCATTCCCCATAATAAAATAAAAGAATTTCTCCTGAAATCACAAATCAAAGTATGATGCCTCACTTTTGTGAGTCTGAAAGCATTCCTGCCTTTCCTCCCTCTAGGAGCTGCCTTACACCAAAGATGTGGCGGAGTCCGGTTTGGCTGAAGATACCCATCTCTACTACTTGGCCCTGATTGAAAGAGGCACCGGTGAGCTTGGGTCTTTTTCCTCCTGTGGGTTCCTCTCCCCACCGCCATCACGGAGCGGTTGAGAAGATGCCTAGATGGTTGTTACGGGGGAGGAAAGCAGCAAGGCAAGACACGTGGTGATCCTCTGGAGACCCTGATCGTAAGCCAGATTCGCTTAACAACCGGGTTACTGACCTATCACCTGCAGGGATTCACTGAACAACGGAGACGAGAAACGTCGTAAAAAATGGGGGCAAAACTCCATGAATGCTCATTGAACAACATCCATTTTGGGCTCCGCTGTGGTTGGACGTTGAGGTCCGCCGGTACTTCGTTTAGAAACCCAACGGCCCATTTGCCAGTTCTCTTTAAGAGGGGGCCGAGCTGAGATCCCGAGCGTATTTTTTATAGTTGCTGGACGGTTGGGAGAGAACGACCTGCCTTAGCAACCTCAAACCCCCCCCTCCCAGATTTGCAGCCCCCAAATTTCATTCTCGACCACTTCAGTGACGGCACCAGCAGGGTCTCCTTTGATAGGACAGAGATCTTCAAACTTGGCAACTTTAAGACTTGTGGACTTCCAACTCCAGAAGGCTGGAGTATTCTGGGAGTTGAAGTCCACAAGTCTTAAAGTTGCCAAGTTTGGGGACCCCTGGAGTAGGAGATGTTCGTTTGTTTCTGCTGGAAAGTGTGGTTGTGTGTCAAAAAGGTGTCCGTGCTAAACTGCTTCCTTTGCCAGGATTCTGGCAGTTATCCCGCAATTAAATCATGAGTCTCAAGCCAAACTCCCAAAACTGCAAAAGGATTTATTAGGAGTAAACATGTCGGCATTGCCTGGGTGCAGCCGACTCTGAGATACATTCATTGTCACCGTAGACCCTGGTTTTCCCCCACCCCCCTGGATGTATCATGATTCATATTCTCCAACGGGACACATCCATAGCCCAGAGTCATCAATCATGTTCTCCAATTAGAATTTTGCGGGGCAGAAACTTCAGTCACCTTGTTATTATCTTTGAAAAACTATGTATGGAATGCACTTTTCTGTTTCCAAGCTGACGCACTGCTCCCCCTCTCCCTTTCCGTTGGCAACTCTAAAAAAGATCACAGAAATATTTTGTGAGTTGACATTCTTGCTTCCATCTCGGCCGCAGCTAAACTCCAGGCCGCCGTGGTGTTGAACCCCGGATATTCCTCCATCCCGCCCGTCTTCAGCCTGTGCTTGAACTGGAAAGGGGAGAAAACCAACATGAACGATGACAACATTCGGGTAGGTCCGAGACACGGGAATGGGGCTGAGGGATTCTGGGAGTTGAAGTCCACACACAAAGGTTGAGAAACACAGATCTGGAAGGTCAAAGGTTTATTTTTTCCCCAGCTTCTCCTCTGCCCCCCTTTTGCTTTTTAGGCCATGGAGAGTGAGGTCAACGTCTGTTACAAGGAACTCAGCGGCCCCAAGCCAGGCTACCAACTCCTCACCAACCAGTTGCAACGCCTCTGCGTCGTCCTGGATGTGTACCTGGAGACCGAGACGCACGACAACAGCGTGGAGGGGCCCAAGGAATTCCCCCAGGAGAAGATGTGCCTGCGCTTGGCCAGGTAAGGTGGCTCGAAGCCATGGAGATCCGGCAGAAGGGAAACGGGGCGACTCGCCCCGGCTATCTCGCTGCAGGACGGTTCACCTCAAGATAACTGGAAAGAATTAAGGGGTAACTCAAGGGACAAGTGGGTCTTCGGTCAGTGGGGGGAAATATCACGGTTTTTATATATTTATTTGACTCGTAGGCTGCCCTATCTTGTTTTAGAAGCGGCTCCGGGCGGCTTACAAAGATGAAATTGGGTCATTTTGCAAACTTGACTTCTTAAGTCTGAGGTAGACATTGGGGGGGGGGGACGGACGGTAGTGCGCGAGGGCCATACGGCGTGTTTATTCTCGGGGTCCTGTGAGCCTCCTTGTTGAAAGCTCCCTTCTTCCCTAGGGGACCCAGCCGGTTGAAACCCTTCAAATACAACTACCCTCAAGGCTTCTTCAGCCATCGCTGAGCCCAGCAGCAGCACCAGCAGCAATGGTTGAGTTCCACTAGGCCACGCTTCCCAAGCGAAGGGGATTTCTTTTGGATGTGGAGCCGATTGCGTCTCTGATGGATTTCAGCTTTTTGTCCCGCTTGAAGCCGCGCCGGAGAAGACAGCCGAGCAGCTGCCATCCTTCCCCCCATCTCTTGAAGGGAATTAAAACGGAGCAAAGGGCTCGTTTTGAAGTCCTTGCCTATTAAATATTTTGAACCAGTAAAGGAGGATACGCGTAGCTCAGGGTTGAACTGGGGGAGTCGGGGGGTGTCCTTGGTTGCTCTCTGAGCGTGGTGGTTTTCTTGCAGGCGTTTCGTCACCCAAGTAGGTAACATCATCAGTGCTAAAGGGAGTGGGGTGAGGAAGGAAGGACAGGAGGGAGGGGGAGAGAGGAGAGGGAGGACTGAGGAGTCCTGGGTGCTCTTTGAACTTGGTTGTTTGCTGGAAGGCATTTCATCACCCAACTAGGTAATAT